ATTCCTACAGCGTATTCATACTATATGAATACGTTGTATGACTTTCAATGCTTCTATATCTTCAAATCTTACTTGCATCTCTTGTCTGTTTTCATTTTTAACCGATGGAGATATAATGATGTTTAATTGTTATTGATTGTATAATACTACTAATAATTTTGTGATTATAAAATAGTTAGGTAACCGGAGAAACCTTAAAAGCATGTCGAATTCTGCTTATAGAGGATATAACATATCTTATGGGTATGTTAAAACAATATGCAACGTACGACAGTCAAGATCTCTTGAAGATGTAGGCCTACTAAGAATAAATTGAAATAAAATTATGAAGGAATATAGTTGTGAGCATATCGACAACCTTCTCTACTTGTAACTAAATCAATGTTTTTCAACTTTTTTCTAATAACAGCATTCCCAATTCCTAATTTTTTTTGTGACACTAATATTTCTTTATCAATGAAGTTGTTAGCATACATGTAAGAAGTGCTGTGGTGTTGCTCGGTACTATATTTCGCGGTACTCGTGAAGTCGTTGCTGCATCCTAATATGCCGCGTACACCGGTTGAAAACCACTGCTTTAAATACTCACAAAATGTAAATTCTTTAACAGTAGACTTAAAGGAATAAAGTTACCGTATCAAAAAATATATATTTAACAAACTAGTTGTTAATAGGTTCTTACATTCAATTTTAATAAGATTAAATCACAAACTGACATTCATTTTAATTAATTAATTGGCTCATTTTCATTTGACTCGCCTAATGGTAGTCAAATATAATTTGTTTGCAAGCTGTTACTTGTAAGTTAAAAGTAATAATAATTAGCATTGTCTCACTGGGTAACGAGCGTCGTGATTCCATGCTCATGGTTCTTGATTTCTGCTTCTCTGCACTCAAGGAAAAATTGAGACCCTTCAGGTGCTTCTTCAATAATTCATTAAACACAAAGTTTAAGGATGAAAGGTCCGTACTACAGTGTGAAACTTTGCAACGACTTCACACAGCAATCAAGAATAAATGCAAATAGGGACGGATTTAGAGGTGCGCAGGGCGCAGCTGCACCCGTTTCTGGGATTTTTCTGGAGTAAAATCAAATATCTCGGGTAGTAAAAAAATTTTGTATGGAGTATTGTTTCCTTTCTACATCCTTGGAAAGATTTCCGGATCCGCTACTGAGCGCAGAAGCTTGTTGCTAGATGGTGTGATCCTCTTGCGAGACTATACATTGCCAATGTGATTTGTAACAAGCTTAAGAACCTCGAATATAAAATTCTGCAGCACCAATTTACAATCCGTACTTTCACCATGCGACTTTCGTACATTCGGTGATTTATCGGTTACAGGCTTGTTTTTACGTAGAGGTGCAAGAGGTGGTCACAGACTTTCTAAAGCAGAAACTAAAGGTCTTCTACGAGCACGGATTCGCCAAGCTCGTTATCCAATGAGACAAATGTTTCAATGTTAATGGTCATTACTTTTAACTTACAGGTAACAGTTTGTTAATAAGTTACATAGGCCCACTTTCATTTGACTCTCCCTAATACAATGTTAAAATAATAAGCATCTTCAGAATAATGTAACGACTCAAATTTTAGGTAATTATTAAAATATAAAGAATAAAAAATAAATATCAAAACTATACATTAAAATCATTAAAATTATTTAGGTTTTTTTTTTGTTTGTCAATTTTGTGCAACATTATATAGTTAAATTTGTATTTCCAATAAATTAATTTATTTTATGATGCTGATATGTGAAAAATATGACAGTACGCTTAGCGACGATTTCTCATAAACTCCATTAAGTAGTAAAAGAGAGAATCTGTTATATTTGCGTATATTTATATCAGTAGGATTCGCGCAAATAGTAATATGTTTTTCCCAATTTACGAGAAAAATTTGTGTTTAAAATTAAATCTTAAAAAAACATTTAGAATCGATATTTTTACTGTATGATCTGTTTGTCATGGATAAATTAATTCTTAATGCTGAAAGTAATCAATTCTTTTACATTTAATTACAATTAATCATCAAATATAATTTTATTAAAACAAACAGTAATAAATTTTAAAGATAAATTAAATGTAAATAAACTGTTATATATTTATAAAAATGAAAAGAAAAATAATTAATTTCAGCACCTCTCCAGTTCATTTATGTAACGAATGATCTTTATCAAACAGCAATACAATAAAATGAACTTACCACTTTTACTCCTTTCCTAGAAAACTATCTTTTCCTATTTTTAAACAATATAAAACTAATTTTAATCAAACTCTAACATGTTTCCCATTAGCAAATTCTATTAATAAACTAAACATTAAAAGTTATTCTCTCAGTTTATATCAAATTTAAATCAGATAAAAACTATTAATTTATAGAATATTTAATTTAATAAAACAAGTTTTATTATATAAATGAAAACTATAAATTCAATTTTTTTGAAATAAAATAATAAATAAAATATAAAAATTTTATTATATTTTACTTTTTCTGCTCTAAATGTCTTGAATTTTTAACGTAAGTTTCAATATATATTTTAAAGTATAAACCGAAATTTGTAAAATGTTTATAAAGTTTTACGTATTACATTGAATATTATACAAACGGACTTTATGAAAGTTATCAAATTACACTTTTTCAAATCTTAATTGGAAGAAAAATAAACCATTTTATAATGTTACATATAGCATTAAAATAACTTTAAATCCGAATATTTAAGGTGAAAAAGTTTTACATGACAGAGAAATAAAATAGATTGTAATTGTAGAATGTTACAAGGTATGATGATAATTACTTACAGAAGTTAAGGTGAGAAAACAAACAATAGTTGATTTTTATGATTTCTTGAAAAAAAGACAATAGATTTGTTTTCTCACCTTAACTTCTGTAAGTAAAGGTGAGAAAACAAACAATAGTTGATTTTTATGATTTCTTGAAAAAAAGACAATAGACTATTGTTTTATCAAGGAATTTCGCAATTTGAGACAAAAATCAGTAAAAATGTCATCATTTTAAATTATATTGCTTTATCTTTTATAAAAATTAAAAATTTTAATATTAATATCAGAATGAGCTTACAAATATTAGTTATCAATATTAATAAGCGTATCAGTTTTTAACATGAATAAGTAATTTTCATTCTTTGAAAATGTCTTAAACTTTAAGAAAAAATAATCTGGCTTTGTTATGCACATTTAGCTGAATTTTTGAAATATAATAATGTTTATATGTGGAAAAAGAACTTATTTAGAAAAGTTTATTAACTAAATTCATAAATTTAAGCATGCTTCACCTCATTCTCACTAAAATCATATTTTATTCCATATATAAAGTGTAATGTCCTAATGGTGTTCTCACAGTTTTTAAGTCGTTTACCTTGGACTTGTCTTCTTAAATCCACCCACAGCACTTTTCACACGCTCTTTTAGGTGGACCCTCTTTGTTTTTTCAGGTATCCTCATTTATTTTTACGAGGATCTTTTACATTTACGTGAAAAACCAGCTCAGAAAAAGTTAATCAATTTACGTGTTTACAGCTAGACTTATCAATTATTAATTGGAAAATATCTTCAAGTCAAAAATTTCAATTTTAAATTCATTATTTTATATATTTAATTGAATTAGCAAAATATATTTTTGTCAGATTCTTTTTAAAAATAACCCATGTAATGGTTATAATAGCCAAATTTAATAATTATATAATTATATGATTAAATAATCCAGTTTATATTATACAGTTTACAGTCATATTTTATATCTTTTATATAGGCGTAATTAGAGAAAATACGATATAAATTTATATTAAATATCAATATTATAAAGTATTAAAATTTATACTTTTTATAAGTAAATATTTTATTTATTTATAGTCTATTATTTGATCTTTAATCTTTTATTTTAGTTTTTATCTCCCTTATCCTTATTTTTAAATGCCAGCACATTTCAATCTTTAAACATTAGTATCTCAGTTTTGTATGTTTTAAGCTTTAACATACACAAACATAAATATCTTATTATATTTATTATATATGTATTATAATTAAATTTTCTTTTATTTTATACTTTTGTAATTGAACATCTTCATTTCATCGCTTTGAATTAATGCTATTTAGAACTTAAGATATGAATATTATATAATAATATAATGCATTTAAATATAATAAAATTTTACTATACTATTTTAATTCTTTATAACTTTTTTTATAAATTTTTTAAATTCTTCTACATATTCCGAGGTTTTAAATGGAAAATTAAATATAATTAAATTCTTCTTAGTTTTCTCATTTAACATTTTATCAATTTCAAAATCCATCATACCTTTTAACTTGCTGTGCGAATCTGTTCTTTCTTCTAATAAACGTACTTTTTTACACATATCTGTCAACTGTTCCTTGAGCTTTAAATTTTCTTCGTTCATTTTGTTGATTTCGGCTTTCATGGAACGGATTTCGAAGTTTAAACTATCAAATTNGTAACGTCGTATGTTGAGTTTTTGTTCGTATCGTGGAGCAAAAATATGTTCGAATTTCATGTCGTATCCTGAAAATTTCGTATGCTGGGGCGTTCGTAACCTGAGGTACCACTGTATAAAATAAAGAAATCCAAAATCCAAAAATAAAGAAAAAATCCAAAAATAAAGAAAAAATAAAGAAATAAAGAAATCCAAATATAAAATAAAGAAATCCAAAATGCTAAAATAACGAAAAAATAAAGAAATAAAGAAATCACACGCTAATTAAAATTAAGTGTAGCACGTTATAGAGTGAAACAATAGTAGAAACATAGAAATATTATTAAAAGAAAAAATAAAGAAATAGAAATCTATCGTATTCAATAAAATTGTTTTATTCAGATTGTCTTTCCGAAACAAACGTGACTTTTGTTTACAAACTCCAAGGTCTAATTTTGCTTTTACCAATGGACAAGTTTCGAACTTCTAGAGGGAGGCACCCGTGTAAAGTGGTACACGGTACAAAGATACAAGTGTCAAGGTTCACCGGTGCAAACAATAGGACCGGTAATTCACGTATACAAGGACGGAGAAGTGAGTATATAAAGCTACGAAAATTCATCATCGACCATCAGTTGCTCAGTCTAACAAGTGAACAATCGAACAAACATGAAGACTCTGGTAAGTAGAGACAATATCAAAATCTTATACTACTTTATAGTAAAATTTATCTTAAATACCTTAACATTTTTTCAGATCGTTTTGTTTGCTCTTTTGGCAATGGCCATGGCAGGATACTTAGCTCCTTACGCTGGTTATGGCGGTTATTATGCGGGTTATCCAGGATATTACGGAGCTTATCGTGGATACGGATACGGTTATGGATTAGGACATTATGGGTACGGATTAGGACACTACGGTTTTGGTGCCCCATACCGTTATGGAGCGTATGGAGCATTTGGAAAATACTGGTGATGATCAGGTGAGCAGAGTTCGAGTTCCAATTAAATTTAAAATGTAAAAAGTTATGTTACTTGTATATGTATAACACGTGTATTTTCTTTATCTTTCAGCGACAAAATCTCGTTCCTGCAAAGCCACCGAATTGATTACATTTCTGGAGAGTGTAACGAAACTAATATTATTATAATAAAATAACATTTCATTCAAAAATGCTTCTGTTGAATTATTAAACAATTAAACGATTTTATAAACGCTAGTACAAATACGTAAACGTGTTTGTTATCGCTTACTAATTATTATTTTTAAATTGCGGTTTTATTTACGTTATTTACGATTTGTGTACGGTGTTATTTATTTATTTTTAAAACATTTTATAGAAAAATAAGTTATTATGATAAATTCAATACATTACTTACTATTAAATGCTTTAAATATTTCTTTATTAACTTCGCATCTACAACTTTTATATTTTTAATAAAAGTTTAAAAATTGTTGCAAGCAATGGATTTAAAAACTATCGAAAAAACAGAATTATTCAAATTTTTCTTCAATTTGTTTAATTGATTAATAAACACTTCTAAGACCATGTTGGCTAACCTCATTGCCACTTTCCGCACATATAGGAACGATTGTAAACAATTGGCAAATTGACACTTTTAATTTATATTTTTATTACGTTCATGTATTAAATTATGTCAAACGAAAAAATAAAATTTATTTTTCATTTCCCTTCATAATTTTAAATAATTTATGTGTAAAAAATATAAACGTTTCTTAATTAATCACGTCGAAATGTGTATAAAAGCTATAATCATAAAATTTTAATTATTTTGATCACTTGTTTCTTAAATAAATGTTAAAAGGACAAATAGCCTATTAATAAACATTATTGTTTTAAAATTATTTGTTAAATCTTTACGATACTTTATAATTTTTTTGAACAAAAAATGGGGTCAAAAAATACATTTCATGTGGCAAAAATGTTTTAGGTTCATTCTACTTACGACAATAAAATGTTTTAGTAAATAAATATATAAGTTAATAAATTTATTTTCTAAATATCGGTATATTAAAATATACCAATATATAGGGCCTACTACAAAAATTAATTTGTGTAACATTTTTAAGCAGCGCAAGTGTATGTATTAATTATTGCATTAATAGGTCCATTGAAATTTAGACAAAGTAATTATTAGTAAAGACACGGGAAAATTCATTCTAAAAGTAAATCTAACGGAAATTTTTTCTTTAGAAAAAAAAACGTTAATTAAGTTCTAAAATCTGCATTAACTTTATTCCTGGAATAAGTAATCTTTCTAATTTTGTATGAGAAATTTCCACATACACGAATATCCCCCGTTGTTAAACCTTTATTCTAAAGAACATTTCTTTTTCGATCTACATAATTTTCTTTTATTTACTTTTAAAAAATTATCCTAAATTAAATTATATTTATTATTTTTTTTTCTACAAATTACAATAATTTTTTCAGATAAAAATCAAAAATAATTTTTAGATATAATAAAAGAATATTATTAATTAAGAAAATTAAAATTAAAGTAGGTGAAAGTGGGTGAGAGCGAGGTCATAGTAAGTTGGGTGGAGTGAAAAATTATAAATTTATTTCATCTTTAAACGAAAGGACTGGAAGTTCAAGAAACTCGAGGTTGATCTTATAAGCACCGTAACAAACAATTGTCAACGAATGAATAACTACTCGATCTAATTTAATTATTAAAATAACTTTACAAGGATATTGAGGTTTTTTGAATTAAAAAATAAACTAATTAATCAAATATTTAAAATATAAAATCGTTATTTTACTACACTTAACTACATTAAAATGCAAATAAAAGATGTTTCATTAATTTAATTATACAAATATAAATATTTTTTGAATTTTAAAATAAATTACTGGAAATTTTATGGTTATATTCCCTTTAATAAGATTAAAATATAAAAGGAATTTTTAAAATATAATTTCCATATTAATGTATTAAGATAAAATACAAAATAATTCATAAAATTCAAGTGATGGATAAAATATAAATAACACAAAAAATAGCTTTTTGTTAGTTTGATGTAAGAATTTAATTTTTATTAATTTTTTAATTTAGTTTACAAATTACAATCTTTTTTATTATTATAAATTTATTGCTTTCCTTGTCCATCTTTAACCTTAAAGTGTATAATTTTATCAATCTTTTTATATTTCTATAAATAAGGAGAGAAAGTATGCAGTTCTTCAAGGATAAAGGAGTGGTTGGACTTTAAAAATCTTTTGATCAAGTAGAGACATTCACCTCCTGTTCGACCGTGACCCGTTTCATAAGACCTTGTTTACTTTACGACCGATTCGTGGTTTTAGAATAGGGAAATTCTGAACAAATTCTTTAAGAAATGAGTCAAGTTTTTCACATAAGATTTAGATATCGAAAATATTCTTATACAAAACATACTTTTAGTAATTTCTCTACTTGCTACTTTCTCGGCTCTTATTTACAGAGGAAAAGTATGGCGATCGCTCAAAAATGACCCTCAAAGACTTACATTTTTGGACCCAGGGGACCTCGAAACGTCGAAAAATGTAAAAAGTTCGGGAGTAATTTCTGTATGTATGTAAAATTCTGATAGTGTGTGGGGGGAGCACGATTTTGTTCACCTACTTTGAAGCTTAATAACTCCTGTATTTTTAGTGGAAAATTTCTGAAAATTTTCAGAGAGGTTTATTTATTAGGGGGATTGATGGTATTAAATTTTGGTGAGTAAAGGTCGAGAGAATGGGGAATTAAAGGGATCATGTATACCTCCAGAAGGGTCTGACATAATGACGATTTTACTCGTTATTACCATTTACATTATATATATATAGGCCTATATGTAAAACTCATCTCTACCCTTAAAATTAAGCTTTTTGCCATTTTATAATTGTTAAAAATGTAAAAAGTTTTAAAATAAAATATCATAACAGATAGCGTCACACGCGGTTTTAAATGTTGCCGGGAAAGTTAAACAACTCGTTGCTGGATTTTTTTCTATTATAGATTTATTCTTATATAAAATATTTTATATTTTTGTAATAAATAAAATTTTTATTTATCAGTTATATTGAAGCTCTGTTTCGAAACAAAATATTATTCTTATTTATTTTTGTGTTATATTCTTGTTTTATTTTATTTATTTATAAAAATTTAAGATAATAAGCACGTGCTTTTGTTCTCTGTTCTCTGTCATGTTTAAAAATTGATGATTTACTTTCGTGCGAATGTATTAATATATAGATGCCAGTCACGTTCTGCTTTCAGTCACATTATGATACAAGTTATTAAATTATTTGAATATTTTTATATGGCAAATAATTATGCTTCACTTTAACACGATTAAAGAACTGAGCAAATTTTCCATTAAAATAGTACTTTTTCTACTAATAGTTTCTGTGTTTAGTTTAAAAAATTACAGTTAACATAATAGGATTTTGAGAAAATCTTATAATGCTGAATTAATGTTTCCATTCTTTATGGTAAATCCCCGTAGTTAATTCACTAACCGTTACGCAAAAATAAAAAATTATGAAGAAATCACGTATTTTATTTCGTTGGGAAATCCCCACGCTAGCTTCTATGCTATTGAACTTGTGCTTGTTTGAATCTATTAATAATTGACTCCAAACCGTTCAATTCGTAATTTTAAAGATTTTTATAAGGTTATTTTAGGTTTTATTTGATTAAAATTTTCTGAGAATATATCACTAAAAATTTTGTTGTAAATCACTAATTTCTTTGTTGTAAATTAAATCCCATAAATTACACCTAAGTAAAAGTATTGTAAATAAAAAAAAAAAAACACCATTCAAAAGAAACACCGTTTCTCTGATATTATCTTAAAAGCTGTCATACGTGACAAAAAATTTAAAATAATCCGACAATAAAAAAATTAACACAAAAATTAAAATCGTTGTTCTGTTGCAGTTCTAATTTTTATGTTAATTTTTCTGTTATGCTGAGGAAAGTTCACCAATTTCTCTACAAATATGATAGCACATCTCAGACCTAAAATAATAGCGAAAATGAAAAAAGAATTTAGTGTTTAAAATGACGATAGCAATAAATAAGTGGACTCTTATAGAATGTAATTAAACAAAATGTACTAGAAATGTATGACCATTTCAAATAAATTGTAAATCTTCCTTTAACCACAAGCTTCTTACCAGCAAAGATTGATTTGAGAGATTTAAAAACTGTTTTTCATTATGTAAGAATTTAAGGGCCGATAATAATATTGCTAGGAAGAATCGAAAAGAATTTCAAAAAGTTATTGAAGAACATAGGATTACATCACATCAATTAGTTTTTGAAATTAAATCACTTTTTTTCTATTCGTTCCTACTTCCTTACAACACGGTTTGGCGCTATATGAGATTTTATATCAATCCAACTATCGTATTATACGAAGTTTACCGGTAAGATG